CCACCATGCGACATGTGGGAGGTACTGTAACACCTGACTGCCTTTTGTAATGTCTGGCCTCTACACTAGACTGCCTTTAGATCCACATCTCGGCCCAGCTCTTTCTAAAAGCCTCTGACCTGGAGCAGCAAGGTGGTGCAGTAGATAAAGCACTGGTCCTGAAGTCAGGAGGACTCGAGTTCAAATCCAGCCTCAGACCAAACACTTGACACTTACTAGCTGTGTGACCCTGGGCAAGTCACTTAACCCCAATTGCCTAAAAAAAGACAAAAAAAAAAACCCCTCTGATCTGTGGTGCTGAAGCACATTGTATCTCGGCCCTTCAGTTTGGGTTTTCCACGTTGGCTTTCTGAGTGTGTTTAGATGCCTTGGTAGGCTTCCCTTCCGGCCCCTTGAGCAAAAAAGTTTAGACAAGGATGATGATGATGACGATAGCTAGCATTTACATGGTGCTTTAAGATTCACAAAGCGCTTCACAAATAGTATCCCATTTTATACAACAACTCTGTGAAGTGTTATTGTTATCCTCATTTTTTAAGATCAGGAAACTGAGGCAGGCAGAAGTTAAGGTACTTGCCCAGGGTCATAATGCTAGGAAGTATCTGAGGTCAAATTTTAACTCAGACCTCTCTGACTCCAAGTCCAGTGCCCTCTGTCCATTGTGGCAGCTAATATTTATATAGCCCTTCAAGGTTTTCAAAGTACTTTGCATATGTGTGTGCAGTTATCTATCTATCTACATATATATATGTCATTCAATCCTAACAACAACCCAGTGAGATAAATTTCATCTTCCTCGTTTTATAGATGAGAAAATTAAGGTCATCAGAACTAAGTGACTTGCCCAGGATCACACAGCTAATAAGTGTATGAGGCAGGATTAGAACCCAGACCTAAGAGAGGTAGATGGCACAGTGGATAAGTGATGGACCTGGAGTCAGAAAAACCTGAGTTCAAATTTGGCCTCAACACTTACCAGCTGTGTGACCCTGGGCAAGTCACTTAACGTTTCTCAGTCTCAGTTTTTTTGCCTATAAAATGGGGATGATTATAGTACCTACCTCCTGAGATTGTTTTGAGGATGAGATAGCATATGTATAGAGCTTTGCAAACCTTTAAGTGCTATTATCCAAATGCTTGATATTTTTATTGTTGTTATTGAGCGATAAGCCTTCTTCTCTACGTCCCTTCTACCTCCTATAATGACCCTGGCTCCCAACTGGTAGAGCTAGAGGGACAGGCATTACCTGAAGCCAGTAAACATTCCACACCTTTTTCTGTTTGCCCTGCTCCGCTGTGGTCTCTGACGATTCATTGCTCGAGCCTGAAGACCAAAGCCTAGAGCTTACTGAAAGAAAAAAAGTGGAGAATCCCAGGGGTACAACTCCCATGAGTCATGAAATAGATATGCACAATTTGGCCTCCCACGAAAAATGGCGAATAGCTGCATCTGTGCCTTCAGTGTTCCACATGGAAGGCCTAAGGGTCTGCACCTACATGAACAGTAAATAAATGGTTTGAAGAAGCAGCTCTCCATGATGTGAGCTGAGTGGCTAAAAGTTCCAACCTGTCTTCCTTTCTAACACCCCCATTTCCACCAAATTGCTTCTATTTGGTGCCCCCAAGAGCTTTGGATCTTTCTACCCACAACTGAGTGGCACTCAGCACTTAGCACTCAGCTCCTAGCTCTGCAAATATCAAAGCCACCACTTTCTGCCTGATCCTGACAGCCTCAAGAGCACAAATATCTTGCTCTTTCTTGTAGAAAATGGCTTTTAGATGGGGAATTTAATCCAGGTTGCCAAGCCCCGCAAAACAAAATGAAAGACAGAGAGA